CTCCTGAGTTGTTGGGTCCTCGTTTTCTCTGCGCAGCGTCGCGCGTCGACCCTCCTCCTCCTCCTCCTCCTCCTCCTCCTCCTCCTCTTCCTCCTCCTCCTCCATCCCTACCTAGCTACCTCCCGCCCCCACCAACCTCGCCCTCTCGTGCCGCTGCTGCCGCGGTGCCACATTTTATGCGGCCCTGCTGATAAGAGCTGCTGCTGCTGCTGCTGCTGCTGCTGCTGCTGCTGCTGCTGCCCCGTGGTCGGGTTCCATCTGCTGCCCCGTGGTCGGGTTCGAACAGCGTCCCCCACCGCCGATTTCGGCACACCCCTCGCGAGGATCGTGCGTCATGCCCTGGCAAGACCCATCTCTGGCCCCCAAAAGGGGTGTCCGCAGAACGCCCCCCCCGCGGACTCCGGCGCACCCTTCACACAAAGCGTGCCCCGTAGGGAGCTCTGCCCATGGCCTCGGTTGGCAGGCGTGCGTCGCGTTCCCCCGCCCACGGCGGCGCACACGTCCGACATGGGCACCCCATGGGCGGCAACACCTCTGGCCCCGGTGGCGGGGCGCTCGCGGCGGACCCGCGGGGCACCCCAGCGCGGATCGCTCAGTTGCACAAACGCCAGCGCTGCGTCGGTTTTGCTGTGAAAAAGAGCTCTCGCGCGCTTCTGCCGAACCGCTCCTCAGCCAAGTGCCTGCGACGGCATGCTCGCTACGGGATGGCGGCACTGAGCTCACCGAAGGTGTTTTGCTGAGGGCATTCTGTTGGATGGCGGCAACGCGCTCACCGAAGGAAAACGATGCTGCCTTCAGTGGACTGTCATTGCACCGGCCTTGCAGACGTGCGGCAGCGGATTTCTGCGTAGATGTTTGCCCGAAGCGGCGAGCGAAAAACGAAGTGAATTCTGCGTGGATGTTTCTAGTCTTCATTCCTGGCAGAACACAAACCGCACGAATTCACCTCGAAATCCAGAGCGAAATTCTCCAGGACACTCCAGGCCCATCCTATCGTTTTCCGAACGAAATCCGCTCTGCGAGGTTGGCGCCATGAGAACTGTTTTGCCCTCCGTGAGCTCATCTCCACGTTCTTGCTGCCTCCAGCGGGCCTCATTACGCCCCCGCGGCCATATCCGGGACAGCGGACTCCCCTGAGGCGCCTGCCGGCAGGCCCGTTTCTTATTGTGCGCGACCTGCTGCACGCCAGGCCCTGCTTGCTCTAGGTCGGGCGTGTCCTCCTACAGGCGGACTTCGGAGGAAAAACCAAACATAGTATAACAGGCACCCCGCCACAGTCAAACAAATGGTCCGACACTCGCCCCCGGACTCTGCTTTTGCCATCTTTGGATGCGCGGCCCGTGTCCTCTTGTGCGCGGCCTGCTGCACGCCAGGCCCCGCTTGCCCTAGGTCGGGCGTGGTCTCCTGCAGGCGGAGTTCGGAGGAAAGACCAAACAAGTAGTAAAACAGGCACCCCGCCACAGTCAAAAAAGTGGTCCAACACTCGCCCCCAGGCTCTGCTTTGTTGCCACCTTTGCATGCGCCTCCTGTCGGGGCACGCGCCCCACTTCGCGCGAGGCCCTGCTTGCTCCCGCACGCCGGTGCTGCGGGGACGCCCGCTGCCCTCCCGCGCGCCGAGCGGTGAGCCAGCGGGCGGGCTGCCTCCTGGCCGCGGGGGGGCTCCCCTCGCCGAGGCTCGCCCACCCGCCGCGTGCGCCCGAGGCTTCTGCGGAGGGGGGGATCGCGCTGCGCCCCTGCCGTCGTTTCCGCACTGCCCCTCGGTGCAAAATCTCCAAAACAACGGTCTAAACAACCTTTCTAGAAACCTTCCTCCTCAGGAGGGTTCCAGGAGTGGTTGGCCCAAAAGCCTTCCAAAAAGCCTTCCCGAGGAAGGTTTGAGGGAGGTTATTTGGAAGGCCCCAGGAAGCCTTCGTGATGCTGTTGGGCGGCGCACAGCGGGGGGGGCAGGGGGGAGGGAGGTGGCTTCTTAGACGGAGGCCGCTTCCCAGAAGGCGCCGGCCTTGCGTGTGCAGAGAAGGCCAGCGCGCCTCCCAAGAGACAGGGGTGCTTCTTCTTTTTTTTGACGAAGCAGAAACAGCGATTGACGATTTCAGTGCTACTGAAGGTGGCGCCGCCAGCCCTCAGCTGGAGGATAGTGGCGGCGCGGCAGAAGAGGGCACGAGGGGAACGAAGCAGAGGCAGGGGTGCTTCCAAGGAGCCCTCCCCCCCCCCCTCCCCCCCTTCTGCGCGTGGCCGAGCTGCTGTGGCGGCGGGCCAGGATGGAGGAGCAGGACACGGCCTCCGCATGACTTCTCGGAGGCCCGCGCGGGCGTCTTGGGTCGGCGCTGGGCCCCCCTGGCGGCGCGCTTCGCGCGCCGAGGACGGGGGGCTCAGCGCCGAGCCAAGAAATCTGCGCGGACCGTCGAACATGTATGTTTACTCCAGATCTCGTAATAAAGGGAGGGGGGCCTCATTTCGGGGGGGGTCTCCTCCAGGCTATCTCGGAGAGCCTGGGGGGGGTCTGGGGACGATGTTTTGGAGGGTTCTCCCACGGGGGAGGTCTGAAGTGGCTTGTCTTGGAGGGTCCAGACCCCCTCCCTTTTATTACGAAATCTGGAGTATGCCGCTTCCTCCTCTGACAGGAGCTCACCGACTCGCTTGGCCTCACTCCCGCCCGAGAACAGCGCGGGTTCCCCGTTCGGTGATACGCCACCTGGGTGGCCGACGCCGAGGTCATGCTCTGGCGCTGCGCCGACGATGGCTGCTCGTCCAACTTGTTGGCCTCCGCGGTGCTGGCTCTCCAGGACTCGGGCACATCACAGTTCGCCCAGGTGTCTCGCTGTCGCCGCTCTCTCTCTCTCTCTCTCGCTGGTCGATGTCCGTATTCTGCGCGGACGTCAAGCAGCCATGCTGCAGGCTCTCGGTACAGGCCTGTTCTGGCGCCTCCCACTCCATGCGCTGATTGAGCAGGGGCTTTTGCTGCTGACCCTCCGCCGCTGGGGGGGCTCTGCTGGCAGTCGGCCCGTGGTCGCCTGAGCGGCTGCAGTGACCGCCTGGCCAAGCTCGAGGTCCTACGGGCTGCGTCGCTCTCACGTGGGCGGCGATTGAGAAAACCAGTCTCATGCGAGATGGCATAGCGACCTTGCGCGGTGGCATTGCGCGGGCCGCCAGCGCGGCACGCTGCATTGGAGACGAGGCAACTTACGCGCCGCTGCTGGCGCAGACGATCCCGCTTTTGGGCGTCGCTTGCGTGGTGCTGCACGCTCAGTTTCTTTCGCCCCGCCCCGGTCCGCTCCCTGGCACACTGCCGCCCCGCCGCTGGCTCTCCAGAGCCAGCCGCAGAACAGCAGGTGCAGCGCCCAGAAAGCGCCGCCCAGGCCCTCCGCCGCCGCCGACCGTGATGGTCCCATGCAGTTTCGACAGCAGCGTGCACCCTGCCATCGCTCGGACGTCCATTCCCTGTGTTTTTTCGGTTTCGTGCGTGGTTTTTTTCGCCAAATGATCCAGGATGCTCCTCGATGGTCCTCGCCGAGAGAGAAATGCACACGTCCGAGCGATGCCAGGGTGGCACGAAGTTTCGGCGGCTCCACCCTCTGGGCAGAGCCGCCACTAGTGGCGGGCCCTAGCCGGCCTCACTCTGCCAGGCCTCGGAGCCGCCACTAGTTTTAGGTCGGGCATTTCCTCCTACAGGCAGCTTGTGAACGAAAAATTGAAAATAGTCAAACAATGCTCGACAATAGTCAAACCTGGTAAAAAATTGCCCTGGCGACGTACCCAACCCCTGCGCAATGCGGGGCATGAGTAGCTTGGGAGACGCTATACGGAGGTGATGACGTGACATGGCATTCGTGAGGCTAGCAGCCCCCCAAGGATTGCGATATCTCGCTCAGATCTGCCTGGTGCCTCACTCCGCTGAACCCGCCACCAGCCTTCGACAGTTGCGACGGTTTCGCAGATCGCAGCCCTTCGAAAGTGGCGGCAGTTCCGCAGATCGCTATGCTGGCCCCACAAGCAGCCCTCGAAAGTTGCGAAGGTTTCGCAGATCGCAGCCCCCGAAGGACGGCGAGGTCCCGCTCAGATCTGCGCGGTGCCTCACTCCGCAGGACGCACCAGCAGCCCTCGAAAGTGGCGACAGTTTCGCAGATCGCAGCCCCCCAGGGACGGCGAGGTCTCGCTCAGATCTGCGCGGTGCCTCACTCCGCAGGACACACCAGCAGCCCTCGAACGTGGCGACAATTACTCAGATCGCAGCCCTCCAGGGACCTCACTCCGCAGGACCGACCAGCAGCCCTCGAACGTGGCGACAATTTCGCAGATCGCAGCCCCCCAGGGACGGCGAGGTCTCGCTCAGATCTGCGCGATGCCTCACTCCGCAGGACCCACCAGCAGCCTTCGAAATTGACTACAGTTCCGCAGATCGCTATGCTGGCCCCGCAAGCAGCCCTCGAAAGTGGCGACAGATCCGCAGATCGCAAACCCCGAAGGACGGCGAGGTCCCGCTCAGATCTGCGCGGCGCCTCACTCCGCTGGACCCGCCAGCAGCCCTCGAAAGTGGCGACCGTTTCGCAGATCGCAGCCCCCCAGGCACGGCGAGGTCTCGCTCAGGTCTGCGCGGTGCCTCACTCCGCAGGACCCACCAGCAACCCTCGAACGTGGTGACAATTTCGCAGACCCCCGAGGGACGGCGAGGTCCCGCTCAGCTCTGCGCGGTGCCTCACTCCGCAGGACCCACCAGCAGCCCTCGAAAGTGGCGACAGTTTCGCAGATCGCAGCCCCCCAAGGACGGCGAGGTCTCGCTCAGATCTGCGCGGTGCCTCACTCCGCAGGACACACCAGCAGCCCTCGAAATGGCGACTGATTCGCAGATCGCAGCACCCCCCAGGGACGGCGAGGTCTCGCTCAGATCTGCGCGGTGCCTCACTCCGCAGGACCCACCAGCAGCCCTCGAACGTGGCGACAATTACTCAGATCGCAGCCCTCCAGGGACCTCACTCCGCAGGACCGACCAGCAGCCCTCGAAC